TATACAGTATGTCTGCGTGCATTTCTTTGTGTTTTTTTTATAATCTGTTTACTAGAAAGTAGGGTTGTACAGATACCAAGTACAGTACTTGGTACAAGTACGAGTACATGTACCGATACTTTTGAGCTCCAAGACTAGACTAGAGAAAAATTAAAAAAATTAGGAGGCAGCTGTCATGTGTAAGGAGCACACGGAGCTCCTGGCATTTGTACATCTCTGTTTTAATGTACGATTTTGTTTTTATAAATATAAATAAAGGGATGCACAGATAGCAGTTTTGCGAGTATGAGTACTGGTACTTGCCGAGTACTTACAAGTACTGATACATTTTTGTTTATTGTCATGTGACAGTTTTTCTAAAACAATACAGACTAATGATTTCAGGACAATGGTGGAGTGCCAGAGCTAGGTCCCAGCTGCAACCGATGCAACCCTGGTAGTTCTCATGAAAATTCCAAGTATCTGCACTGGTACTCGGAAAGTATCTGTGCATCCCTACTAGAAAGACATTCAGATATCATAGTTTGTACAGAAATTGATCATTTATGTTGATATGGACGCATAGAAACTTATGTGAGACATATTATTTTTGCAATATTTAAAGGGCTCTTGTTCATTGACATGGTGTTACAAAAGTTACCTTTTTTAGATATATTTAACCACTTCTCTACCAGGGCAATTTTTAAATTTTTGCATGTTAAAATGTTTGGCTAGAAATCTTTTTTACCCCCAAACAATTATATATTATCTGAAAGCAAAGACCCTGTAGATTAAAAAAAAAGCTAGTTACGTTTTTTACGTTGCACAATATTTGCGCAAATGTTTAACAAATCAATATTTTTAGGAAAAAATACAGTAAAATGAATTTTACTGCAAGGAAAAACACAATATAATAGCTAATGTTTGTAAATTATAAAGATAAGGCTGCATCGGGTAAATTGATGCTAAAAATGGCAGCCGTTAAATTGCAAATAAACTATGGTACCAAAAATTGCCTTTAGGCAACGCTGTAAAAACCTTTACTGCTTATCAATTTAGAGTTTATAGTGAGTGACAGCCCTAGAATGATTGTTCTCACTGCAACTTTTGCGGGGATATGTTACATGTGTGGCGCAATTTTCGTTTTTGGACGCAGATGCACCTGACACATATTTGCATTTCTATGTGTGTGTATGCGAGAGAGGAAGTGTGCTGATCTCCCTCTGACGCTGCAGGAGACACTGACCTGGGCCTGGTGCTGCATTAGTGGCAGCAGAGCCTGGAATAGCCAGCAGCAGCGGTGGAGGAGGGGAAAGGGCACATTTCTGACTCTACAGCGCCCGTCATATCCATTCATTTTTTAGTGCCATTCTCTTACCATCTGTTGAAAAACATATCGCAACAGATGGCAATGCAAAGGATGGCAACGCAATGGAACCAGTGTGAACGGGCCCTAAAGGTACAGATTTAAAATTTCAAATACTTGGTTTAACTGGATAGAATAAATCTCCACACCCAAATGCCAATCTCACAAGATTGCTGACAGCCCTGATACTACTCATAGACCCCGTTCTCACATTCTGCGCTATAATTACCTTTGCTTTAAAAGAGAAGCAAAGTCAAAGCCTTTCCTTGGCTTTACTTATCTTTTGGGTCACAGGAGTACATTTACTAATTGATGCCTGTGACCCAAGGTCTGCAGACAGCTGGCTAATGCCCACTATCTGACAACAGCAAAACAGCCAGGAAGGATGCCAATAATATTGTTTGGCTCTACCCAGGCTGCCTATGTGACAGCTGGTTCTGCCTCTCTAGAGCCAGAGTCAGCAGTGCACACAAACCCCCGCCCATCTGTCCCTCCTATGAGCACTGGAGGAACATAGAGGGGAGGGAGAAATACCTGCGAGAAGCGGTAAATGACAGTCACTGCTCTCTTTAGGGAGAGCCAATCGTGAGCTGAGTGATTAGCAGTTACATAATTGCTCAGCTCTCGGTATAGAGCCAGCGTGTGACAGCTGCAGGTTCACACACTAACTCTAATCAGCTTGGAGAACTCTACTTCCACATCTTCTCCAGTCCCCTCTTTACCATAATACAGAAACCCCCCCCCCCCCCCCCCCCATATATCTACACTAATAGATGCCTACTCCAAACATATGCCCACCCATCCTTTTCCAGTATCATTCCCCTTCCCATAATTTCCCCTCCTGTCTCTCTGCTACAGAAGCTTGATAACTATGGATTCTGATATAGATAGGGCTTGGTTCTCACTAATCCTATCCCACCTATCACCTATAATGCTTCATAGTTCAGGTTTCATTTTTTTAAAGGCTGTTGTAATTATGAATGTTACATATGCTGTGTTCTTAGCACTTTGTATCACTATCCGCCAGATGTTCCCTGTACTATAATTGAAAAGGTAAATACTTAAAGGAGAACTATGAGGTGAGTGCTTTTCACTCACCTCATAGTTCTAGCCGACCTGTGACAATGAGACTGTCACAGGTCGGCTCAGTAGATCAGGAGGTGAGCTAACACATACCGGCGTTCGCTCACCTCTCAATCTTGTCACAGCTCTCTGCCGTGATAAGGGGGGGGTGGGGCTGGATTCCCCCCTCCCCACGTGCTGATTGGCGGAACGGACGGGGGAGGGTACAGCTGGCTCTGCCTCTAGATAGGCAGAGCCAGCTGTCACTCATGCAGCTGGGCGGATCCAGACATAATTGTCTTGCGGTATACTGCGGCGTCTCAGTATACTGCGAGCTGTAGCTCGCGGTATACTGAGCTTAGGGTGACGGGAGGACGCTAGTTTGTGTCCTCCCGTTACCCTAAGGAGAACTATGGGGAAAAGCCTTAACCCCATAGTTCTCCTTTAATAACAAAAAGCTGATAATTGTCAATGGAAAGAAGGGGACTTTCCTTTTCCTGTGTTATCAGCATAACCCCCATCTACCACCCATATTACACCGGACCCTCCTGGGATTTAAAGTATTTCTAAACCTAAAAAACAAAAATGTAAATATTTGATATACTGCGGCTTACCTGTCCTTAGATATGGTGGCTGCACCAGGTTTCTTTTGTTTCAGACTAAGTAAAAAATTTTTAAATCAATCAACACGGCCGATCATATGAAATCTGCCGGCCAGGTCCAGAAAAACAAATGGAACAGTGTTCTGTTTCGCCAGACCTGATCATGCCGGATTGGGGGTAATATGATGTAAACGTAATCTAGAAGATATGTTGCCCGCACACCATTCTGCTTCAGAATGTCCTTTTTATTCGTATTGCTTTAGAGTGACATGTGAATGCAAAGTTTCGGAGTCCTGTGAGGTCCTGTGAGGCTCCAAAATGTTGCATTCACGTCACGCTAAAGGAATACGAATAAAAGGGACATTCCGAAGCAGAATGGTGTGCGGACAACATATCTTCTAAATTGTATATTGTGGCGCCATCCACAAGTTGTTCCAGCACCCGTTGGATTTTGGGGTACATCAGTACGGTGTGGGAAGGGGATATTACAAAGACATCTGATGTAAAGGGACAGGACCGTTTACCTGCAATTCCCAATAGACCAACATGGGGTCTGGTCATTTCATAACTGAATGGTCATGGATGATACCCGATCTGAACCGCTCCGATCACCCCCTGATCGGATAGTGTGAAAGGGGCCTTCTAATGTTGGGAGGTGTTTATGAGTGTTTACCCTCTTTACTTTAATCTATATATAAGTGACCTACAGCCATCAGATCTAAAGAAAAAGGGCAATAAACTCTCGCGTTATGAGCAAGGTATTAAAGCCTATCTCCAATTTAAAACAAAATACCCTTCCAGTGGAGCTACCCAGGCGCTGCAAGGGTTACCTGATTGTTTTTGTCTAGGGGAGCTGTGTAAAGGTCTTTTACTTACCTGATCCCCGCTCCCGCAGGCTCCAAGACCTTTGTCCCGTAGCCTCTTATCCCCTCCACTCCGGAGGTCAGCTGATGTCATCACGTCCAATGGAGGGTCCATAGTGCTGAATTATAAGTGGGGACCCCGAGGTGCAGTCTGTGAGCTGGAGTGAAGTGAGCACCAGCTGCTTGGGGTGTGGGGATCAGGTAAGTAAGTTTGCTCTACCCTAGACATAGAGGATCAGGTAACCCTTCCATTGCAGGGGAGCCCCACTGCAAGAAGTTTTTTTTTTTTTAGAGCCCCCCTGTCCAAAGTTTTTTTTTTTTTTTTTTTAACCCAGGCTTTAGAACACACATTTGAAGTTTATGGAAACAGAGATAACCAACTTCTTATAGCTATACTCTTCCTGCCAACCATTTTCACTTTAGAAGTTGTGTAAAGCAAATAGGGGGGAATTTATCAAAACAGGCGCAGACAAAATGTGGAGCAGTTGCTTCTCTCTTCAATTAAGATTTGAAAATGAAAGAGAGAAGCTGATTGATTGCTATGCACAAGCTGCTCCAGTTTTGATACATTACCTTTTTAGAAAGAAGACTGTGCGCTCTCTATCAAACCTCTATCATGTATCATATACAGTCTTGCTATCACCAAGAGATCGCAGACTCGTCCACTCTGTTTACCAATCACTGTAGAGCGCGCCTCTAGACTCGCCTCTCTATTGGCCGAATGATCTGGGCTCCGCCCTGGCCAGTAAGACTACTTTAGGGCTCGCAGTGCGCAGAGGCTTGTCGTGAGCGTGGAAGGAGAAGGGAAGAGCGGAGCTGGTGAGCGGATAGCCCGTTGCAGGTAATAATGGGCAGGCCACTAGATGGCTGAAGCGGGTGTAGAGTTATCGCAATGCTGCAACTTTCCGCCTTGTCATTAGCGCGCTAGAGCTCCTCGTATACTTCAGCGTAACCTGGAGCTCCTGTCGGGCGCGGTCCAGCCATATCCGCAGCACACTGACAACAACAATTACAGGAGGGGGTGGCATTTTTGTAGGGTTGAGGATGGAACTGTGGAATTAAACTTGTTGTTCTGTGTTGGAAGGATTTAAAGGCCGTTCTGCTTGTGTTCAGTTACAGGTGGGAAACATGAGTGGAAGAGCCAGATCGCAGTCCAGGGGCCGAGCACGTGGCCAGGACGCCACCGCCCCGGGAAAGGTCTGACACTAAGATGACGTATTGGATGTGTGCTCCAGTGCTTGTCAATGTCCTTCTGTACCCAGCTCACACAATAGATGATCTGATCACTGCTGAGAACTGGGGCATTACCGACTAGATGCAGTTATTTTTCTTTAGTTATGTACACCATCATTAGCAAAAAAAGACCAACACCTCATCACATCTAAGCTGAGTGTTACAGAATACATGTAAACCCGCTGCTAAAATATATAAGCTTTGTGCTTCACCTCCAGCCAATTATTTTCTTATCCTGTATTCACACCTGATCTGATCAGATTACACTTTGCCGTTTAGAAGTATTTTACTGTACACCCTAAGGGGGGGGGGAATTCTCAAAACTGGAGCAAATAGGCAACCAATCGGCTTCTCTCATCAGTTCGTTCCGTTAAGATATAAAAATGAAAGCTAGAAGCTGATTGGTTGCCATGCACAGCTGCTCCAGATGATGTCTGCTCCAGTTAGGATAAATCCCTCCATAAGCATTTGTGTTATAGGCAATGGAAACATTCCAATCAAGTTTTTTATTTGTTTCATTAAAGGGGGTAGGCCAGTACCACATCTGTGTAATCTCATACACACAGATTTTATTGGTACCGCAAATTATTTTCTTAAACTATAATCACCTTTATTAAAAGAGAACTATGGGGTACACCTTTTTAGCCATTTTTTAGTTTCATGATGATACAAGAGTACATTTTGCTATGTACTCCTGTTATCAATCCACCATAAGTTTGCAATTCAGTATAATATATTGTGGGCGGGGCCAAGCTCTGTGCTGAGAAGTGATCTCAACAATATAGTCAGGATCTCTCCCATTCTCACTCTTCTCTCCTCCCATTTATGTGACAGCGCCTTATCTTTTAAGTATGAATGGGCACTATTGAAATTAATGGGATTGTAGAGTGTTGCACTACAGGATACACATGACAAAACACTCGGTGATTGGAGGCTTAAAGTAGAAGGAAAGGCTCAACAATATACCTGCATAAAATGTTGCCTCCTCATTTTCCCACATACATTTTAACATAAATCACAATTAAATACCTTTGTTTTTCAAGCTTTTCTATGCATGCAGGTGACCACAACACTCCTGCTCCTCTGTAATGTGGAGGGCCGACAACGGGGCCGAATTCCAACCCAGATAGCAAGAAATTGTGCTGCAAGTTTGAAAATGACTTGCTAAACTATTGCAGACTTGCCAAGCTTCACCATTTTGTTGCACAATTACAGCAAGTCTGCATTGCAAGTCTCCAGACCAGCGAGCTTGCAGAGCTCTTGCTAAGACCTGCAGGACTCTTGCTGTAGACTTGTCAAGCAAATTTGCTACAAATTCAAAAAGTGTCAACTAGAACTTGTGCTGCGAGTGCTCTGCAAGTCTACAACTTGCCAGGAATATGTGCAGCAAGTTAACAAGAATTACAATTTAATCCTGACACAAGTTTGTGGCAAGTTATCCTTGCTATCTGGGAAGGAACGGTAACATCACCTGCCGCCAAGTTTATGTACTGCAGCATGTTGCAGTGATTTGAGTTGCGCTGCATACAAATGCAGACATGCTAAACTTTTACACAGCGCAGGGGTGTGGAATTCCTATCGCCCGACGCCCAGGACATGCAGTTTCGGGCGCCGGGAGAGTAGCTTTTTTGTACACTTAGCCCCGCTCCGGACAAGCAGAGCTAAGTGTACAGTGTGGAGCCACTGCTCATTTTCAAGTGATCTGATCATTTATCAGATCACTTGAATTAAACGAGAAGCGATTCTGTCCACACCACCCGTGATTTTCGGGATCCCCCGCTCCTCTGGTGGACCCGAGACCACGGAACATGAGCTCACCATGGAGCCCGCAGAGCAGACGAAAAACATCAGTTTTTCATCTGCTCTGTGTTATCACTGAGACCGTGGCGCTGTGCTCACAGCGCCAGCTGTCAGGGACTACACAGAACATCAGTTCTGTGTTGGAGGGCAGGTTCCATAAAGAGAACCTGTCACCTCCAAACTATCACTTAGAGGATTTTAAATCCCCATGTGATAGGAATAAAATTAGGTGGGGGGAAAAAATGTGGGGGGAATGTCGCTCGCAAATTGCAAGCACTCATTGGTCAGCGTGGTCTGGGGACCATGCTGACCAATGAGAAGCGCTATTTAGCACAGACCAATACAGTTTTGATTAGGGATGCACAGATACAGAGTATTTGGGCAAGTACTTGTACTCGCCCAAATGCTCGATATCTTCTCCAATAACGGAACTTCTGATCAGAGGAAGATTTCCTCTGACCGGCAGTGCCGTAGGGGAACATGGTGCCAGCTTCCCATGCAATCAGGAAGCGGGGCAGCGACTAATGACCCGCCTCCCAGTTTCCTGATTGGCTGGGAAGCCAGCTTCCCAGCCAATCAGCATCGAGCCGGCTTCCTGGCCAATCAGGTCATTAATCGCCGCTGGGTTTCCTGATTGGCCAGGAAGCTGGCTCGATGCTGATTGGCCGGGAAAACGGCTTCCTAGCCATTCACAATCAAGCCGGCTAAACAACATGGAGTCGGCTTCCCTGGCAGTCAGGAAGCCGGGTAGCATCTCATTACCCGCT